TGTACGTCTACCATACCCTTGCATGAACTTCGTTAGTTACCGACATTGCCGCTTTGCGTTTCATTACCCCCGTATCCTCCATGTCCGAATTCCGCCTCATTCCTCTCAGTGGCATCACACCATGTTTGAACTGCGTTCTGCCCCGCCTGTCTTTCTACCGTCTCTTCGTGCACCCACACCCCTTTATCCAGGTTTCACTTCTACTGACCTTGACAACCCGGTCGCCCGTACGCTCATTATTGTGTTGTGCCCTGACAAATGGCGATCTTGTATTGATCTGATTAGAGGCGCATTGGTCGACGCCATTGGTCAGCCTCTACGGCTTGTCTGTACATGCTTACACCTTTCCCCATCCTCCGGGCGGGTTCATTTGACCGTATTTTTGGTTCATGGCTCAACCTGGGTGATTTGACCCAGAGATTGCTGTTGCAGTGAAGGACCATTTGGTATATTTGAGCTTGGAAATCGGTAATGTATTGCCTCTTTTTCTATAATTATTTGTTCAATAGCACCGTTATCTCAGTTTCGGTTTTGGCTCTTGTTGATTTCCCGGAGGGACACGCTTACAATTGCGGAGAAAGTGTATTTTGATTGTCTCAGTTTATGTCCCTCCAGACTGCAGTTCGGCTATCAAAGACGATTTCTATCGGCAGCACCCATCTCTTCTTTACATGATGATGAATATTGACATCGTGATTGTTGCTGGTGACTTAAATGCTCAAGTGGGCCGTTTTCCAGACCATGAACAACACTTGTGAAGCCGTTTCGGGGTGGATGCGTGTCGAAGTAAATGGTGATCGATTCCTGCAACTGTGCGCCAACCACAGCTTTTAAATTAGCAGCACTGCTTTCCAGCACAGACATTCATATCGCTTAACTAGGCGCCAACCGAATTCCTCAATGACCTAGGACTAAAGACCATACTGCCACTGCCTACAGATGGCGTACATCAGACCAAGACTGCCGATCAATTTGGAGCACGTGCCTGGATTCCGACCAAGCTCTAGCGCGCACGCTTGATACTCAGTATTCCAGCTTCAAAGAAGCACATAACTTCTGACCTCCTTACTTGTAAGTTGAACTCGTAGTCTGTAGCCAAACAATATAATAACAAACCAGTTCACAGAATTTCAGCGAAGACTGATGTCAGTGAGCCAAACACAGAATGGGATCGTCTCAAGTAAGCCATGAAGAATGCCTTTGACGCCTGTTCCGTAAGGGGATCTCTGAGGTATCGATCAGATTGATCGTAGCGCGTAAACAGTTTCCAATGTGTACTGAGCCTCATCAAGCAAACTACAAGTATATATTGTGGTTTCGAACTCACTTTTTATCCCTACATGCAGTAAAATAGAGTGGGATTCTTTTTTCCCCACAACAAGACGGCAGTTAGCAGCAATTTCCCATGGAATGCCCTGACCTTCATGTAGATGGTGATAAATTGCACTCCACCCTGTCAGTTAAGTAGCTAGGGGTCAATATATTCAGCTGCGATCTTTCTTAGTCACTCCATATGAATGAAGTTTCCATAAAAGTGAAGAGGCTTTATTTCTGCGCTGCTCGTTTGCGATCCTCCTCTGTTCCCCGCAACTTAATACTGTAATTTCTCAAGAATTGTGTATTATCCCACTGGGCCTGTTGCTTCCCAATGACACCACTCGATTTCCAAAGAAAGCAACTCAAGATAGTAGATAGTTCATTGACGTAGTGGTATCCCAAAGCCGCTTTGTTGATATTCTTGTGTCTAGTCAGACCAGTACAACCAAAAATCTCTGCTTCAAAGATACCCACCGACGCAAGTCACTCTCTTCATGGTGCACTGTCTGACTGCATATCGATAAAAGCATGGATCCATCTATAATCGTATTGGTGCTTACCACTCATCCGTATTTCGATAGTTGGTACGCCTTTTGTATTGCCCGACTCCAGCTATTCTGGAGTTTACAAACAAGTGCATTTTGACCACACTGCTGTCTATGCCACCTATTAACAAACTGATGCATCCATTGTTTTAGATTTCATCCCTTTTACGATGCTGAAGGCGTTTGTGTAACAGTTGAATATTCACCTTTCTGAGTACAAAAGCTCAGTTTTGAATTGAATGTTCATCTTAGGCTGTCAGTAAAAGAAACTTGCTACCGACTAGTGTGTTCCAAGTCTTGAGTGCAGTCTTGCAGGTTTTTATGTGTTTCGTATTCAGTCTCAGCTCGTCAGCAGGCCAGGTCTCTTAGACAGCGTCCCAGTGAATTCAACTTGCTACTCTGCACACAGGATATTATCGGCGAAAAGCGTTTTCCTCCGTTCTCATTAAGACAATCAAAATAAATAGGACGGTCGTAACGGTATTATTTAGTAGTTTTGCCTCATTATTTTGCGACGCGCAGTTTCCCAATCCAAACAGACCTAATCGTGCGTATAACTGCTGTCCTCATTACCGGAGTAGTTGGAAGTGGCCGCTTTATAAGCTTCACCGGATAGGCTGACAGAGGGCACTGCATGCCATGGTTCAGAAGTTCAAAGCCTCGGTCACTACGGGAAATTTGGTCAGACATGTAACTGAGTCTCGCTTGCCATAAAAGCCATTGAGAATGGCCATTAACGCTCGCCCCAACAAGACCACAGTTGCGTTGTAAAAGTCTGAATCAGAGCGTAAGAGTCAAAGCAGTAAGCGCTGCGCTCCTACGGGTTACCACCATGTCCAAATCGAGGACGACAGCTTTTATGACCGCGGCCAAGCAACTTGACAGCCAGCCCAGCTCGTTCAATGAGAGGCTTCGAAAGCTTACCTGAGTGTGGACGGTATGTCGTCGATAACAATGCCCGTTTAGTTGATTTAACTGTTTCTTGTTTAGTATAAATATCGACTGAAAATGTGCAAAAAACTTCAACTGATTTCGGGACTACCTACTAATATACCTGGGCAGCTTTGATCAATTCAGCCTATGATAGAAATAGGCCATCAGCTCTCCTGTCGTGACTGAACTTTTCAACAGGTTCGTTGCCGGTTGACTGGAAATGTTCGGTGGTGAAGCCTATTCCGAAAGGCGGCGACCCTAGAAAACTAGACAACTACAAGCCAATTTGTCTGACACCTATTTTGGCAAAGGTTGCTGAGGAAATCGTGAAGAAGGAATTGCTGCAGTTGCTACATTTAAACGAGGTCCTGACACCCGCACAGCACGGTTTTATGCAAGGTCGTTCATGCATTACGAACCTGCTTGTGACGAGGCATGAGTGGTTGAAGGCAATAAGGAAGGGGAAGTCTGTCGAAGTGATATTCATCGATCTCAGTAAAGCGTTCGACAAGGTCAGCCATTAGGTTCTCCTTCACAAACTCAGCATGTGTGGTGTCGGCTCATTGCAACGGTGAATCCGCGACTTCCTTGCTGCACGAAAGTGGAGGGTACAGGTCGACGACCATCTAACTGACTGGTATCCCTCTACAAGTGGTGTGCCTCAAGGCACTGTGCTGGGGCCCACTCTGTTCCTGATCCACATCAATGATCTACCTCAGTTTCTAAGGTCGCCGTGTGCCTTGTTTGCGGACGACATGTAGATTTGGAGAGAATTTGACGCTCGCGACGACTGTGGCGTACTTCAGCAAGACCTCAAGCGCTTATCCACATGGACTATATTAGTTCATCTCCCGGTCAACTCAGCCAAGTTTGTATTTATCAGCTTGGGGAAGGGTGCTGACGGCCGAAGCTACACCCTTGAATGCCAACCGCTATATCCCACACCCTCCGTGAAGGACTTAGGGGTACTCTCGCGCTACGATTTGAAGTCCGTAGACAACACGAACAGGCCATATCGGAACGGACTGCGCATGCTTTGGGCGCTCAAAAGTAGCTTCGGCACATGGCCTGAAGAAGTTGCCACTCGCCTCTTCTTTTTCATCATCAGACCAATGCCAGAGTGCGGTTCCCCCGCCTAATTTCCGATTACCCGAGGCAAGGCACAAAAGATTGAACGGGTCCAACACGTTGCTACCAGGCTCATCCCGAGTTTACATGGCTTGGGATATGAAGACCGGTGCGAGAAACTAGGGCTCTACACTTTGTCCTACCGTCGGGTGCGAGTCGACCTCATTATGACATACCGAATTCTACATCTTGGTGAGTTCCCCATGCTAAGGCCAATACTGCACCTACGAGGGCCATGCAGCACACGCGGACACAGATACAAACTTGTCGTGTTCCCCACCCACTGTGCTTCGAACGGAGAGTGGTAAATATTTGGAACAGTTTGCCAGAACATGTGATTGAGGCAACATCTTTGCAACAGTTCAAAACGTTGTTAGATTTGCATTTTGCCACTATTCGATTCAGAGAACGATTGCATACTTACGATGACATGTCACATTTGTGAGTCGTGCAATACAGTGAGTAAGATATTTTAAATGTTACATGAGAACGACAACGATATTCACGGCTGACAACTTCTAAAACGTTTTCCACCATACTACAAAAATAAGTTGTGCCGAATTCATTTCTACTTGCTCTATAATACAGTATAATAATCTGTACTCTCCTCCAATCATTTTATATTCTCTATAACTTCAACATTTTTAAACCTGTTTACATACTTTAGGCTAGAAACACTATCCGTCTCCTTCATTCTTTTCCCTGAACCCCGATAAAACTGCACATTCAAAAGTAGAAAGTGATGTTCATTAGGATTGCCAAAAATCCAGCCATCGCCTTGAATAGCTTGGATAACAAGCCCTTTAGGATACTTCAAGGGTCTGATACATGAAGCCCGTTAATTATGACAAAGACATTGAAAATTTCACCCTATATGGATAAACCCTATATGGACAAACCAGACAGTGACAAACACAATTGGCTAACTCATCGTCCCATTGTACATCTTGTGTCAACAAATAAACATAGTGTCTCAACAATACGATCTGAGCGTGCTGTGAAATTGGTCTCTCTGAAACGAAGAATATAAATCTTTTGCTCCTTAGTACCCTGTTGTAAGTTGGAAACAAGGCAAAAGATTGGAAGTCATCTGTACCATAGTTGAAAGACCACGGGATAAGTACAGAAGTTATTCCCAAGGAAAGACAATAGTCCAAAGGCGCGAAGACATCTTTTGATGATGCAACTGTCTGGTCAGAACCATCGAAAGAAGACTTCTTCACAGTGCATAGCAACTTCAAAAGTGAACTACATCTGTCAGAGCGAAAAAATGTCAGGGGGAGAAGCACGAGAAGTTACTGTGAAAGCCCAATGTGTCACTTTCAAGAAAAAATAACGGGAATACTTCATGTAAAAGCAACAAAGCCAGTATAGCGACTGGTTATCAAAGGCAAATGATTAAAAGTTTGTAAGAGCAGAGCAATGGCGCGGAGGACCGGGAAGACGATTGGCGCAATGGAAGGGCACGATGCATAAAGAGAAAGAACTGTTTGAATTTCGTCCACTGCAACTGGAGAGCAAAACTGGGGGAAATGGATGAAGAACAAACGAAAATATAGAAGGCGTTAGGGTTGGATCACAGGTGAGAAGGCAGGGTAACGTAGAGTGATTGTCAGAAGGGGATTGTGTTGTTTCAAGCTATTCACATGATAATAGCAAACGAGTGCTTCAAGGCTGTCAAAGCCACAGGACTGCGGTACAAACCCATACCGGCCCTCCGATTGGTGAATGAGACAATGCCGAACGCAATCTGATAGCCTGTGAAGGGAAAAAGAAGGGAAACCGCAACATACTCGAGTGGGACAAAATGGTTAAAGCGAAAGAAAAATGGATAACTAATCACACGCAACTTCCTTAACGGCAGTGAGGAGCGGCATGGGATCACAGTGCATTTGGTCTGACCCACAAAGAGAAAATAAGTGAGCGTTGATCAGCCGTGAAAAGACCGAGGCCAGGATCTAGGTGGATATCGGGCACTCATATTTAGAATAAGCCGATTCAGGTTATCTAAAGCTGCAGTCTGCTGTCTGAAACACAGTCCACCAGATGATCTGCAAAATCTAAGGGTCAAGACTCGGGTTGGAGACAACGATCAAAACAGCATTGTGTGAACTGGGTTTTAATCGCTGGTATAACGGCATTTTGCCCTTACCTTTCACAGTTGTGTTCATTTGCAGTCACAGTAAAAGAGCAAGAAGCTGAACAGGAGTGCTTACCGTAACGATTGTTCCATTATCTAGATCATTATACTCGTTCCTCTTTACAGCGGCTACGTGTTGCCTATGATGCATTGCTGTTTCGCCTTGGATTGTATGTCATAAATTAGTGATCCTGTTAGGATCGAAAATACTGAGAAAAGTAAACATTAAAAACCTACCATCGCACATGACTGTGAAACCGTTAAGGAGAAGACACTGTCAGTTGTGGACAAGCTGGACAACCACTTGGAGAAAGTAATATTGCACGCCCGTATCTTTCAATGCACTCATGATTCCAGCAGCTGAAAAATCCTCCATCGAGATGCCTTAGTCCAAGTGTAAGAAACAAACCCAGCCTTACGTGAAGCGCTTTCCAGTCCCAACGTGGAAGCGCTCTGTTTAGTTTGCTGACAAGCATAACTTCTACTATCGTTACAAACAGCGGTTTCGGAGTAGGACATTACAACAGCCAGCTTCGCACCGCCTACCGGACTGACCGTACCCGCTTTCGTAATTCCGCCGGCAGTTTCGTGTACGGTACCAACAACTTGCAAAGACAGTCAGGAGTATCAACCGTGAACTGAGGTGACTGGCAAAGCGTGCCTGAGATGGGGAGACGGCGGATTAGCGTGAGAAAAGCGTTATGGAACAGTTCCTTAAAGGAGCCCAAGCACATTCTGCGAGTGAGCGGTTCAAGTTACACCCTTTTGATCAACTGGATGGGGCGGTCTAGCAGAGAACAGTTATGGCGTGTTAACGCACACCGTCCCAGATAAAACATCAAGTTGTTAGGCTATTAAGATAACCCAGGCGGTTGCATACGTTTTCTTGAACCGAGTGACCAATGGCAACTGAATTTCAGCTATATAGTGAGAGGTGAAAGAAAAACCACCTCGCAGTAAATTTCACAACGAATAACCAAGACCACAACGTTTTCAGTATACAGATAGGTAAACAGAAAGAAGACAGAAGTAAGGTGGTTGCTGGTTGTGCGTGGACTGCAGACGTCTGAATCAGATAACTCGGTGGAGCGTTTTTCTCTCCCCAGAATCGACGATTTGCTCAACGCACTTGCTGACTCAACGTATTTCTGGCTACCGGCAGGTGGAGGTTGCAGATAACGATACAGCGAAAACTACCAACTGACTCGTATGAATTCCAAATCATGCCGTTACGGTTATCTAACGCCCCTGCAACTCTTCAATGCCTGATTCAGAGGATGTCTCGTGAATTGATTCTGCCGTAATGTCTCGCCTATCTGGAAGGCGTTATCACGCATGGAAAACAAAGCACAAGGACTTGAACAACTTGACTGAAGTACTGAAAACTCACATCGGGGTGGATTTTAACATCAAACAATCGAAACATCACTTACTGTGTGAAGAACTGATGGACCTATGAAAATCTTCACAGGGTAAAGTATTCAAACGGACCCACGTAAGACGGCGCAAGTCAAATCTTAACTGGCCGCATAAGCACTAAGGAGTTATGTGATTTTCTCGGGTTGCTTCCGTATTATCGACGATTTATCAAAATATTTTCCATAAACACCGCATCTTTAAATGCACTGCTACAAGAGTCAAACTTTCGAATCGTCAACAGAATGTCAGGAAGAATCCGACCCACACTTATGCTAGTGTACCCTGACTAATCATCCACGGCTGGAGATCTCATTTCGGATGCGAATGCGAGAAACCAGGTGATCGGAGTCGTCCTGCCACAGAAAAAGCCCGATGGGGTGTAGTTGTATTTTACATTAACAGGAGCCTTAGCCTGAGAGAAAGGAATTACTGCACGATCAGAAAGGAAATGCCGGCTCAGGTGTTTGTCGTAAAGCGGAATCAGTATTTTTTGCTTAAACGGAGATATGTGGTGACTACAAAAATTTCGGGACCCGGAAAGAGAAATCACACACCGGTGAGAGCAATTGCAGGCGCAGGACTTCGTAAACAGACACCGGTCGGCTAGACAACATGATAACGAAGATGTCTTGTCCCAGATTCCCCCTAGTGACCACAGGAGCTGATTCTCGTGCAGCATGCAACATGCAGCCATAGCTAACCTCAGAGTGTGGACGCTGGTAGAGGGCAAAAGCATATGATCCTCATATCAAGTAATGTCAAGATAGGCTTCACGTAGATCGCTGGGTGTATTTTCCTTATTTCACATTATCAACTGCAGACGGACTAAAATGGCATCATTTAAAAAGGGAAAAATCTAAATTGGATAAACAAAAGGGAAAAATAGCTTGTCAGCTGTACACCGTAACGGTGCTTCGTTGCGCCGCGACCACTACTAGTCGCGCGTGGGCTGGGTATACCGCGAGGACGCCTGCCCCTACGCGGATTCCAACCGGTGACCTTATGTTTTCAAGCTAGGCGTGCAGACCACTCGGCCACCGGCCGGCAATTAATCAAGTATAAACAGCCCCGTTTTCCGAGCAACGATCGCACAGTGCTGAACAGAATCCTCCGGACTTGTATCCGGTCGACAGTGCAAAGATTTGCTAAAACAATTATTTAATTGACCTAAATTTTGTGGCCAAAGTAAGAAGTCGCGAATAGGGTACGGTATCTGGAACTTTGTATTCAAAATATAGGTAGGTCGCTTTGCCTCAATTAGCCACAGTAACGCAGATAAACAAGCCTGGTAGAGTGCATAGTAGTGTGAATAGTTGTATTCATGAAATCAGAGGATTTTGGCACTAGAACTCAGAGAATATTCCACTACAAATAGTGAAGTAGAAAGGAAATGTGTGTGTGTGTGTGTGTGCCTGAAGCTCACAAGCCGTACCCATCGAACTCGACATTCCATGTCTATATAGAAAGAGATACAACAGACAAAAACGCGTAGTATTTCTATTCGCATAGCGTTCCTGCCGAAAAATCCCATCTCGACTTCATTCTTGGCGCCCTGTATAACACTCGCTAGTCAGAGAACCTCTGGTGTGTGTGTGTGTAGTGCGGTCCTACAAAAAAATAGTATACATAGACTAAAAACCATTTCATACTGCACAACAATTTGAATATATAGTTATGGTATCGATTTTTGAATCATGTGAAGTAGCACGCGCATTGCCGAAGAAACCGAACACATTATCGGCACAGCGATCACTAGTAAAGAAACGACCTAATGAACGTTTCTGGTAAGAGAACCAACTTAGACATGCGTGTTATCAGCAACAACGACTAAATTCGTTGCTATGAAGAAAGAATTCGGAATGACGCCTGTCAAGCCACATCGCCAAGAAAGTCTATGAGCTGTGACGGAACTAGGAGGAAGAAGCAAACGTATGTGGCAGCTCATTCAGATCCATTGGAGAAGATTGCCTCTAGCCATTTTGACGATTGGAGCAGCAATACCGTGAAACCTCGAACAATTGATCAGTAAGTACTAAATACAAGAGAGAGAGAGAGTAGCTGCTTTCGGAAAGTAGTCGAACATCCGTTAGCATGCCGAGGCATTTAGTTTACGTTTCAAAAATATAGCACTAACGAATTAAAAAGGGAGAAGAATGGGAAGCAAAGCTATCTTCCACCAAGTTGATATGGTATGCGAACATTAGGGGGGGGGGCAACAAGTGTTAGATGAGAAGCACAGTCCCGGGGACGATCTGCACACACTATCAGCATAGGGTACACACACTGGTAGGGCTAGATTATTAGTGATTTTCCTGGGAAAAGACATTTACGACGTTAAGATAGTAGGAACAGAGAAAAAACTGTGATACCAGAAATATGTGAGCTAACGACACCACGGCTGTGCACTTCGAGCGCACGAGATGAACGCCGTTAGTTATGAGTGTAGTGCATCAATAAAATAGACTCCTTGAATGGTTGGATGCTGACTTCCTTTGCACGACAAATAGATTACAAAAAAGGACGGAAACGCAGAACAAACAGGAAACATAGGTGAGGTAATCGGACACAAAAGATAATCGATTAATTCTCGCGTGTAGTAAGATTCCGACTATGCAGACTAATTGTGATTTGAAGATGTAACCGAATGATCGAAAAAGTAATACCGTACGACTACCAGGATACAAAGTGAAACTCACCGGACACTGAGTGCCAGCTTTTGTTCTTCGGAGGAAGCACGGATGAGGAAGGTTCCGGGTGGTTTAGGGTTCAGTATCTCTTCTGCGCGATCACGTGATATGTCTGTGACGAACCAGTTATCCCGATTGATAATAAGGTTCAAGTCAGGAGACACAGCGTTATCATATTCCGCGCCTACCATGGAGAGATGACTAGGAAAGGAATCAGACTGCATAGGGGAAGTCGATGTGTGCCGAGGGTCCGTCACATGGTCTGTTGTATCACTGACGCGGGAAGTGGGAGCGAGCGAAGCAGTATCTCCACCACCTGGAAACAGTTCCTGTGGAACGCCTTGATCCTTGAGCGCGTGGCGAATTTCCTGACATTTACGTTTCAGCTTACGTTGCCGTGCGTAGATCTGAACTTGCTCCGTCAGGATGTCCTGATACTTGATGCTGCTGGAGGCGAATAATGCATTGCTTTCAGTGATTTGTCGAGCCGCGTCGCGTAGCCGTTCCTCCACTAAATGTTGATGAGGTGCAAGGCTGTAGGAAGAGATGTTAGGATGGTTATCAGAAAAATGTTAGATTAATCTTAGTCGTCGTAGGATGTGATCCATAGGAACACAGGAAACAGATACCGGCATGGCCAGAATGGACTTTAGCAGAAAGGCTACTAAAATTAATCGAAATCAAGCTGGAATGATTGACCAGGCCGAGTTTTCAGTATGTTATACACAGTAGGTTTTGCACTGAATATGCCGAAGGGTAGAACGAACGTCCGCTCTAATTTCTTCCTGGTCAGATATAGCTCTCTGTGGAAAAAACTACTAATAACACTTAGGTCATGTGACAATGTGGCAACATTTAGAAGTAGGCTCATCAGTTACCTTGATCTAACTACCATAATCTCTACATTCACATGGGAAAATACCTTAATGAGCTAGTCCAAGAGGGGCCTAAAAACATATAAGCACCAATGTTTTCATATCTAGGCTTTGGCCTCAACCATCCGCCAGTGTTAAGACATGAAACGCAGATCCCAATACTTCACCTATGCATATCACCCATGCAAGAGCATGTATTCTTCTGTACAAATTGATCTGTGTCACTATACACAGTTTCTCGCATCAAGAGAAATATACGTATTATTATTATTATTAGTATTATTATTATTATAACTCAACGATTCGTGACAATAGCTATTGAAATATCTCTAAAGGGTAGACATAAACCAAAGAAAGTAAAATAGACTTGGAGAGAAAGTAACTACATTTGGACACCCATTGGTATTGTACAGCTTCAAGTAAGGATCGCCATAAAAACCAATTATTTCGGGGTTTACATCCAAGTGACGTGTGGCTTCTGCATCAGAACGCGGTGATCGAGGATACGTCTCATACGTCTCGGACTTGCCGTGGTCCTCAAGATCGAAACTTATCCCTGTCGTTGGCAGTTGTGAATTCGACTGACCTGATTGGCTGATCAAGAAAGCGCGGCCTTGGTCACCAGCAGCTTAATGGCCGCAAAGTACAGGACAGTGGAATGGCGCGAAAGGGTGGTATTCATATGCTACGGGCAACCTTGGATGTTCTCTGTTCCATCACTTCCCTTCAGTACCAATAATAGTAAGAAAAAATCTCCTCATGAACGCAATTCTGATCGACAAATTAGATTATTCCACAGAATTTTAGAGGAAAATACTGTTGCTCCCCGATCGAGTCCTGGGAAGGTGCTCCCTCTAACAAAGCTCAAAAAGTAATTACTAACACAAACCAGAAACACCGCAAATGATGTAATCATTAGGCCGGTATCCGCCAGATAAAAGATCAAAAGCTTAACATCAGCTAGCGACACTTTATAAGCGCAAACCAAAAAGAAAATAATCTTGAAACATAAGTCTAAGTATCACTGAAGTCATTCAACGCATTGCCTTTGCGTCCCCATCAAGGGTTGGAGTCGAAATAAGATTCAATAGATGAGATTGACCGGTTGGATGAACGTCTTTAAATGTATCTTGGATGCAGCCTAGTTGGTTGCCTAGTTGGTTGCCGCGAATGCACTTGTTTCCGAATTTAGAATATTCCAGAATATTCAATCCTGTTTCGTTAGCGCTAACGCAACTTCTTTAGTTACGCTGGAATATATATATATATATATATATATATATATATATGAATTAAGTAGACTTCAGCTAATTTATTCAATCTGGACACCTATACATCGTTATCAGTAGTCTTCAGTACATCATCAGCTGGGTGGTTCGGGTTACTCCCGTTCCAGTGAATGGTTTGGCGGCAGTGTTCCAGGAGGTGGTGAGTTTTCGCCTGGCAAGCGGTCTCCCTATAAAGAGAGACACAAAGGTCTGTTTAACACTGCGACGTGGCGGGTGTGACTCGCCGCTAAATAGAGTCATTGCTACTTCCTATTACGGAGGATCGCCACTTCACGAACGCCATCCAGTTCGAAGAGTTCCTTTGACCCCATCAATACGATGGTGAACATAGCAAACTCGCGAATTCCGTCACACTTCAAAAGTTCAGTCACCATACCCACTAATACTACACTAAAATATATACAGATACACAAATCCAGTATGTTACTGCTTAACTTGCTATTTTCATACAACTATCGATCACACCTCTTTGTGTTATCATGACCATGCTTTCGCAGTGGTGCCCCGCACTGCTGGGAATAAAGCATGTACTTATTTGTTTATATTTTAAATACAATCCATCAATATTTGACTTATGCATGAATGGCCCGTGGCCTTAAGGACCACAAACCTGCTTTGTAATCCGAAGCCGCGGGCTCGACCCTGCGTAGGGGACCGGGCGACTCTCGCAGTATCCTTAGCCTACATGAGACCTGTGGTGGTTGTGCAGCAGCGAAGCGTCGGTACTTCGTATCTGTGTACAGTTGAGGCGATTCATTTTTCATACATGGAGAATTTCCTAGTTGGTTAATGATCGCCGCTCAAGTGTCTCGTGTAAATCGAAAATAAACTTTGTCCATTTATTTATTGGCATATTTAATAGTCCTCGAAGATAGGGTGACCGACCTAGGATGTACACGGAATATGTAGAAATCAGGTGGAAAAAAAGTTGAAACAAAGTGGCCCAGCCTCAACGGAAGATGATGAAAGTGGCAGTTTAATAGTAATGGACCAATGAGGCGTTTATATCTGCAAACGATTCCATAGATGACATTTTGACACACAAGATCGAAGGGTGCTCCGAAGGAAGCATTAGCTGAAAACATCTCTCAGGTGAGGGGAACCTTGTTCCATGAGCAACATTCACATGTGTGACAATGGAAGATGGAGTAAACACAGTGTTAATGTTAGACGCTTCAACGTATTGACCGTCGTCGCCCATCATGGTGCAGTGGGAACAGAGGATCTTGTGGATTAAACCCGATGAGTCACGGAGTCACGGTCGCCCTCAATAAGTGGCGGTCGTCCGACAGAACGTGAGAGTGAAAAATGGCATTTGAGATAACGAGAATTACACTTAGCAATCCGATGAGGCTAAAGAATCGAAAAGGAAGTGGGTGGTGTAAAACAAGCGCATACCTTTCCTTCATCACAGCATATTCACTCAGCCGAGCTTTCTGCTGCTGGAGCCATACTTGCAGTTTCTGATTACCTTTGGTCAATTTGGCAGCCTCTTCTTTACTCTGTATGGTGGTCCGGCCGAGCGCGACCAACTCCCTTATGCGTGAATCACATTGTCCCAAATCGAAGTCCGTTCGAGTGAGCTCGGCAAGCAAGCGCTCTTTCGATAGATGAGAAGCAGACACGTCGGCATTCAAGCAGGAGGTCGACGCTGATTGACGCAAGCTAGTGGTAACAGTGGAAGAAACGGCTAGAGAAGTCTTCACTGGTACTGGAGGTGTGGACACGTGAGACGCACTGGAGAATCGGTAGTGTAGACGAGACGTGGGCCGAAGTAGTACGGTTTCGTGTGCCAAAATGGTGTGTGACCGATAGTAGTCGATAAGGCTGGACACCAGACGGAAAATGGGCGGTGGAGGATCGACTACTCCGAAGTAGTCCCCACGGTGGTATATGCGATAAAGTTTGTTCTCACCTCGGAGTCTGCGTTCAAAATGGAACGAAAATGTTACACAAAAAGGGTCATCAGAAGAAGCCCCATAAAAGTGCATATAACGCTGAGCTAGTCATTACAACTAAGCAGTTGACATCGGAAAAAAAGGAGATGAAACAGGATTAAGTATATTATAGTATTGCATTTAGGTTACTGTGCGTCGAATGGGCAAGCGAGTAGGAGGGAGTGGAACCAATTAGAGTAGAGATGTGTATGCATCTAAGGCCAAACTCATGAATGCGCCTCTAACTGTATTTGTTCGACATTTGTGAAATCACTGCCAGAGGTCACGATGCGCTAATCATTTGTTAGAGATTCTACCTCTTGTGGACAAGTCATCAGTTGATCGCTATTTTAACGTTTCCAACCGTTCAGTGATAGACAAACAGTGCACTTCGTCACAGTTGAATATTATTAATGTGTGTGCAGTAGCGTAGTCATGGAAGTTGGGCATCTTCTATGCTACATGCAGATAGGTACATTTGACTTATCGGCGTAACTGTGAAGAGACCAGTCGAGTACGTGGAGTCAAGAAATCGATAGCGAGTAAAGATCTAAGGATGAGCCACAACCATGCGATCAAAGACTTTGCGTGACATGATGCAGTCTCGAACCCGAAGAGGATTCTGCTTTCGTCTACATCCATCTAGTGGTTAAAAATTCACTCCGAGTAACTTTAACCATTATTTTCCTAACCCACGTTGCTTTTTCTCATTTTGTGCATTGTTACTCTGGTGCGCAAGTCATGATAGCTGGGTGATAGTTGTAAGCGAATTGAAGTGAACAATGGACCAAGAAGATCCACTGAAACCTAAAGTAAATTAGGAAGGAACTAATAACCGAGCAGAAAACCACAATACAACGCATGTTAGCTGGAGGTAAGAAACACACCTCAGCTAATGTGCAGCAAAAAAAAGATAAGAAAATAGGAAATTACACTACGAAGGATAAAAAACAAGAAATAAATTGTTAAATATTACACTATGCACTTAGTATGAGTGGGAATCTAAAGGGGAGAGGGTGAACGAAAAAACACGACACAAAAACCATTGGGGTTGGCTCCTAGCCAAATCAGCAAGTGAGTCCAAGCAAACTTGTTCATCGTTCTTGGGACCCCAACCACGCAGTCGGGATGCACCAACCGTGGACAGTTTCGAAGTGCGGTTTTTCATTTCTCTCGACCAAGTCATCGATTTGCCTCTCCTCCTCCTCTTCCAACCGCACCCTGGCGCATAAATAACGCAATTCGTAGGAGTCGGGGGTCACCCGGAATTCTCTATACCCCACTGGGAGCCATATCGCTCCTGCTGAGAATGGCTGGGTTAGCCAACCTCGGAGCAGGCATTGATAACTCACCCTAGCGCGTGCGCTGTCTTGCCTAAGCTGAGTGTGCGCCGTCTATCCTATGGCGTGCAAGATAGGCCCCAAACGCATGCACGCGTTGGTAGTTCCGTCACATTTCATATGCTGTGCAATACAAGCTGTCAGAATGTCTCGGTACGGGACAATTGTACCCAACGCCAGGCAGCTGAACGACAGCACGACTAGGAAATGGCTAGCGAACTAATACTGTCGGTCACTGCAATTGGTGTTCGTCGGTCCGTCCGAACTCGTAGCCGGGTAAGTTTCGTGTGCTTTGGATCACGTGGTCGGCTGTGCCTCCTCGCTAAACTGGCCGTCAGACGGTGCAGTTTGGGGTCCAGTCTGCACTACATATGGTTGGCGGCATCCGGTTTCGGATTTGCCTGTCACTGTGGTCAGCCACACGACGCCTGCGCCTACAGAGGGACCATCGGTGGCTTGCGCTGCACCACCCACAGCTCCAACCACACACTCCATATCCAGTGTAAACCCGAAGGAATAAGACCGCGAGGCAGGTGGGTGGGAGTCATGTTTCATCAACGGAGCCGGCCCACACTCCTTCACAGGCAAACACAAGCACGCTGTATTTGTGAATCAAGCGCACACAAGGCGGTGGTTGGACCGTAGTCCGCTCCACACTGAGTGCATGGAACCACTGTTTGATCCTAACACGGCCACAAGAACCGTGCACCCTATCCCCTCCAGCAACGGCCAACTGTCTCCTAGAGCCAGTATGGACGAGGTAGTGCGTAATAGACAGGTAGGCATCTTGTCAACATGCACATCAAGCGCAGAAACAACGGGGATATCAAGCAACAACCAATCACTTGAGTGAAAGATAACAAATAAAATAAATCGAGTAATGTATAAGGAAACGGTGACATATATCTTAAATTAAGGAGCCTATGAAATAACTTGTCTACAAAAAAATTTGAGATAAATTCACGAGGTCAGAATGTATGTTTTACGAAAATGCCACAAACACGAAAATGTTATCAAAATTAACTACAAATGGTTTAAGGCGACGTGTGCAAGTTTATAGAAGAGAGTACTGGTAGACATTTAAATGAGAAAGAAAAGTATTAACACAAATTTGCAAACCCACCACATGAAATAAATAGACTTAGCATGCAAGCACCTAGTTAGTAAATCGAATGCAGCGTACCTACAAACGTTGCGCCCGTTCTGCCTACGTTCTCTGCAGGACCCGTCGTCGTTTCGGCAGTAGTCCCGAGTTGCATCGCTCATGGCTCACTAGGCCTGCCTGATTCAGGCACTCGCGACCGCAAGTGCTACAGCACTATGCGCTTGTTGTCGATAGAGTACAACCCATCGGCGCTTGCCGCTTCCGCAAATGCCGCTTCTTCTCTGCATGTATGAGGTCTTTCTCCCGCACTTCGGCAACGGCCTTAGTGATTAGATTGCGCCATGCGCGCCGATCAACCGCCTTCGATTCCCATGATCTGCAATCAAGATTAGAACGTGTGAGGCTCACTTTGATCATGTCCTGGTAACATAAATTGGCGTCCCCGCATGCCGCTTCCCAATACTCAGCTGACCATATAATAGTTGTTTCGGTATCCACGTCGAATCCATACGGATCACATGACCAAGCCACCTATGGTGTCTCAGCAAAAGTATGCATTCCACTTCATACATTTCACTTCAGAGCAACACTTCCGTGTCAGCAACTCAGTCGAACTAAACGATGCGCAAAATGCGTCGCAAACACTGCTGATGGAACCGCTCGAGATATCGCACATCCCGACGGTACATCGTCCACGTTTCACTGCCGTATAGAAGAACGGACAGCACCATGGATTTGTACACCATCAGCTTCGTGCCAATGGTAAGCTGATGGTTGTTCCACACTCGAATGCCGCCGCTGCCTTTGAAACGCGAATACGCAGCTCACTGTGTAGCTGCTGGTCAGTCGACATCACACTCCCAAGGTAGCTGAAGCGAGAGGTGGTTTCCAATACTTCAGCACCAATGCTGGTTCGCGGCAACATTGAAGATTGCACCTCCGGTGAAGGCTGAAAGAGACAGACAGTTTTGCTTGTGTTGATGGTGAGCCCGAATTTGGCCGCTGTCGAAGCCAGAGCACTAGTCATGTGCTGCAACTCATCCGCGCTGTGTGCAAACAACGCACAGTCGTCAGCAAACAGCAACATACAGATAGAGTTGTCTCACAGACTAGAGTTCTCGCACCGAAACGACCGATGTTCAGCAACCCACCATCAATAAGGTACTCCACACGAACACCGTAAGCAGAAGCCGCATCAAAAGCACAGGACAACATTGCATGAAGATATATTTTAAACTAAAGCAGGAGCTAAGACACAGTCTTGCTTTACACCAGAGACAACTGCAAAGTCATCCGAGGTCTCTCCACTCAGCTGCACGCTCGCTAGCATACCACTGTGCAGACATTCAGTTAAACCTACAAACTTACGCGGGCAACCGAACTTACCCAACACCAGCCACAATGACTCGCGGTTCACCGTAGCAAATGCCTTGGTGAAATCAACAAAAAGCGAGTACAATGGCTGGTGTCTTTCTTTGCACTTCTCCTGCAACTGACGACCCGCAAACACCATATCTATAGTGCTGCGACCGGAACGGAACCCACACTGCTCTTCCGCCACGTTAGGTTCCACAACCTGAATGACGAGGCGGTTGAGCAGGATTCGGGCAATCACCTTGCCCACACAACTCAGCAAATTGATGCCACGATAATTCGTGCAACATTGCTTGCTCCCTTTACCCTTGTACAGTGGTAGCACAAGGGCATCCTTCAGCTCAGGAGGTACCTCCTCCTCAATCCATACGCGTTGCACCAAGTGGTGCAGCGCAGTCATCAACGCCGGTCCGCCGTGTTTCAATACTTCAGGCGGGATCCCGTCAGCCCCGGCACACTTGCCGTTTCGCAGCTGAGCAAGTGCTCTCTGCGTCTCATCCAGTATCGGCGTGTCTGCCAGACTCGCCTTCACATCGTGCTGCTTGAGGCCGTTCAACGTAGGCCAGTCGATCTCTGAACGGTTGTTCAAAAGACAGTCAAAGTGTTTTCGCCAGATCTGCATTATGTCTGCAGTCTGTGTGCAGGTAGCGCCTGAACTACCATCGATCAACTTCCTCAGCGGCTCCAATCTCGGTCTATACACCGCCTTCAAAGAATCAAAGAATTCCTTGTGTTGGCGACGTTCGGTGTAGCATTCCATCTGCTTCGCCATCTCCGCCAACACGCAATTTTAATGCGACGGAGCTCTCGGGTCAGTGGCCGTCGAAGTTTGCGATACTAACTACTCTTCCCCAAGTCACCGGGGTCTGCCACATGTGCAGCAAATGCTGCATTCTTCTCCGACACCAATGCGTCAATCGTCGCATTGTTCTCATCAAACTAATCCGGCCGCTTACAGTTTGCGCGCCCGATGGTCTCCTCGGCAGCAGCTGTCACCTGGTCGCGAATGTGCTGCCACAAGTCGCCCACTGTGGCTATGCAGTCCACATCACCACACAGGCATGCAGCCATCGCCCTCTCCAGCTCAATACATTTCGCCACAGTACCGAGGGAGAGAACGTTAAATTTACGAAAATATATGTACAGTTTGGTCCGCACCAATTTATGGTCAGTGCCACACTCAGCTCCACGCAGTACACGTGTCATGCGCACTTCACGCATCTCAAGCTGACGTACAATGACATAGTCGAGCAGGTGAACGTGACCACTCCGTGGGTGAGTCCAAGTTGCTATATCACTCGCACTCAGTGCACACCGAGTGTTCGTGATCGTCAGGCCGTGAGTGGCACACAGTGAGAGCAGCCTGTCACCGGTCGCATTCACTGAACCAATGTCATGCGCACCGATAACATCTGTCTACACTGATGCATCACGCCCAACGCGCGCGTTGAAATCCCCCAGCAGAAATAGTCGGTCGCTCCTCGGCACGGACCGTATCACGGAGGATAGCTGAGTGTAGAATTGATCACGCGTGTCAGCAGCATAACACATGATCGGATCGTACGTGTTTATAAAGGTGACAAACACTACTTCCCAGTCGTAGGCGAACAGTCATCAGTCGCGCGCTGATGCCTGTTGGTTCACCCACGAGCTGGCCATGGAGGCAATCGGATGTTACAAATCAGACCGCATGATCACGTGGTGCTGAGGCGGCGTTGCCCACCCAGTAGAATGTGTATACAACACCTTCTTCATGCAACTTACCTTGTTCAGCGAGCCGGGTTTCCCTGTGCGCCGCAATATCGATGTGGTAGCGCGCCAGTTCCATCGCGACCTGTGCAGTGCGTCGCTCCGGGCGCTCGCTGGAGTTCCGGTCCAGTAGTGTGCGCACGTTCCAGCACCCGATGCTGAGTGATTTGCGCGCAAGCATACGATTGCATTGGTGGGCAATCGCACGCGAGGTGGTCGTTGTGCATCGGAGGTTTGCTTGAGAGACTCCACCCGGAGCCTTTGGCTCAATAGCCTGACCCAAATCACCCACTGCATTACATATGCGGCCACACTAAAGGGAAGAGTGACAAGTGTGACGTTGAGCGCACGTGCAGTCGTGTGGACGCTTGCGGTCATGTCGATTGGACGGTTTGAGTTTAGAGAGAACGCGTCGGGTTTCCTTTAGGCGCGCATTGGTGCGGCACGGAATGTGCGGCTATACCTGTTTTCTCGGGTTAATGGTAAATTGCACCGAGATAATCAATCGTCATGAAACGCTATTGTAGTTCATTTGAACAAAGTGTAAAGTGAGGGTTTTCCAATTAGTCCTCGAGATGCAAAACAAACCAGAAGCTGGTATAAATCACAATGGTGGAGAATGGTGATAGCTTACAACTGCGAGTGACAATACCAGTTGGGAATCTTCAGATGAAATTAGGCAACTCTGATTGGAGATTTGTGAGCGACGGTTTAAACTACAAAGGACATGCGACGAACGGTAGTAGAAGTGCGTCGATCATTAAATAAGGACCCAATGCTTACGCGGGGGGGGGCTGCAATGAGAAGCGTCATCAACGACAATAGGAACAAGGACGGTTTTTTAAATAACGAGAATAGCGAATGACAGAACTGGGTAACTCCAGTGCTATCTGGAAACGGTAAAACAAAAGGTCTGGGCTATCGAGCCTGTCTCATTTCACCTCACATCAGTCACAAAAAACGTCCAATTTAGTAAGTTATGACTTGCCTGATAACCAAAGTGAATGCTCCAGCCGAGGACTCTGATGCATCACGAACGAGGAAAAAACCGTCTGCCAACCCCGCCATAATATCACACACTTCTGCTTGGGTCACATCAGCCCAGTACCAGTCACGCGTGCGCAAATCACGCATATTTTCCGCCTGTGAAGCCGGGCTAGGTGGTGTGTCCCTGGACGGGTACGATACTGCGGAGACGGAGGTGGACGACGGAGCAGGGACTGATACGATGTCGACCCTGTAGGCGTCTGGATGGGGAATGATGATGACAACAGGTGCATAAATCATTGATCCGCAAAAAAAAACAAAATTTAGCGGGTTGCGGTGTGCAATAGAAGAACGTTGAGAGAAGTAATCCGTTAAGATTAGGAGTTGAATGAAACTACAGGTGAAAGAGAAAGCAGGAAGTTAATGTGCGAAAAACAAGTCAGCGGACCAATATGGTTGTGCCAGAAAGTAGGTAAACACAAGCCGCCAGTGCTAGCAGGATCTTCTGCCCTACAGCGCTCCACTTGCACCGATTCCCGATAACGTTTTTATTTATCCTAAACTTCCAAAGTGACCGGTTGATAGCATGACAGAAGGGTACGGAGAGAAACAGTGGTAGGCAAATAGGTATGATCCCTTCGTTCCCCTACGCGTTAGCCTCACGACTGGTCGCGTTTACGGTTGAATACTATTTGGTAAATACTAAGGATTAGTTATGAGTAGCCGGGATTTCGGTATAATTCAGAGGTAATTCAGCAAAGTGCAAATGCCTACTCACTGAGAGTGAACTGTGATGAACTACCTGAACTATTAAGAGTGTGGCAAAATTGAGAAATCAACAGCGCTCTGGCATTCGTTCCCTAATTAAGGACTCCTCGCGGTTCCATCAGTTGGTTGGTTCGTCACCACCAATCAGTTTTTTATCATTTTGACGGTGTAACACAAAATACAACTGTGAGAACTCACTCGAAAAGAAACGACTAACTCCCAATCAGACTGAAGTGAGGACGTTCGAACACAACATACAAGCGCCCACGCCGCCACAAATGAAGGTTGATAAGCTATGCTACACCTATGTGAGCCACAGCTCAAATCTTGTATTTACACCTGACTCTCAATGCACCTTATTCCCTCTTTCCAATTGCAATGAATCCACGGTGGTATAAAGATAATGTGCAGCTAATTGTGTCTAAGTTGGTCAAGTCATCCCTATTATACCGAACACATCCGTAAACTGCCTCAGTCGCTATGGTACTGATAGTGTTTGACCCATACTGGGCCCACAGTTAACAACACGTCAGGCAAAAATGGCCACATTTGCACTGTGTTTGGAGTGGTGCGACGCGAGTAGAGCTTGCTCGTGTGTGCAGCATCGCTGTTGAGGTAATAGCCGCAAGTAAATTACACTTTGACGAAATATTCTCTATTGTGATGTCCAACAGAATTGTGTTGTGTTGTGTTGATATAACCTAATGAATTTGCTTCCCGATAAACAGTGTCATTAGAAGCTACTTAGTTTGATTTCGTAAAGGCAAATGAACAGGACAGATTGGTAAGCACTGTGTTTGTTCAAGTGTGATGTACCAGCAGAATGCCGGCCGGTAGGGATTACTTTATGGATGTTGTAAAAAATGTCCAGATTTCTCTAACAGTATCTTTTAAAAATTTCTAGATATTCTAAGAAAAATGTAATAATAACCATAAAATCATCAAAGAACTGCCTTAAAAGCAGCAGTTCAGTCCATGTTGTTGCCCATAAAATGTGTGGCGAGTAGTAGCATATTTACATCCAGATGTTATCTGCACCATACAGATGCATTCCGTTGTATCTGTGGACATCCTATTAAGAGTATCATCATCATCATCATCATCATCATCATCATCAACAGCAGTACATAAGTCATTTGAACTGATGCTTCGCTGCCATACAACCATGAGGACCTATGAAATAAAGAATAAGAAGAGGGAGAGAAGGGGGACTTACCTGAAAACCTTAATGCCCTAAGCAAACATTCAGGGTCAAGGCGCCTACACCTTGTGTAGACAACATATCGTCACAAACAGCTGGCTATCGTGCAAAAATAAGGCGGCATCGGCGAGACAGCTTCCTTGCGGCTTTCACTGTCACGCGTCATAATCAGCCATTACCCTGCAAATAACTCAGCACCAAACATACTTTAAACAGGCAATCCGATTAGGAGACGGCAGCAGACGTGCTACTGGTATCGGTTACGAGCGATGTCCTGTAAAGTCTCGAGCCATGCACAAGGCGAGTCACGTGGACTCCAACCTGGAAGGCGAAACGGACCAACGGCACCCCGTTTGGTCGTCAGATACTTCATTTCCCGCTGCCAAGTCAATTTCTGTCCACCTCGAGCCTTGCGCCACCCTACACCTGGCAGACTAAACAAGGCCCTCCTAGGTAAGCGGTGACCAGGCATACGTAGCATGTGTCCCAGTCAACGCAACTTATACAGTGCTATCTTGTTCTAGAGAACTAGCATGATTATCACTTCCTAGTACTCGCCTACGCACATCATCGTTGCGGACACGCTGCTAAAACGTACCCCTTGTAAACCTCTGTAAAATCGCGCTAGACCTACAAAGCATACTGCTGAATTCTTGTCAGTAGTAAAGACAAGTTATGGGTAACACATATGACATGCGAACATTGGGAGAAAACTCTTGAAAGTAAGGTGAACAAATGCTATTCGCACAGTCGGCAGTGTTTTACTTAGTGCAATACATTAGTTAAAGCAACTTAAGAAAGTTGCGGTGTCGCAATTTCCCAGAATTTTTAATGAGCAAGAAGTGTACAGAATACAATGTGTATGCGATTTTAACATATTTAAATATATTTTGTATTATGCATCTTAATGTACTTCCAGCCTACCATAGAGAAGATAGCCATGAAGTTTGCTGTCTCCATGAAACAAATGAGCAAGTGTTGCTTACGCATGGTAGACCCTTCCAAAAGTCGAACGGGCAAAAGTGCCTCTCTAATCTCATATCCAGATATTCTTTCATCCGTCGCCTCTGTGCCATGTTGCCCCGATCTCCCGATTCCTCATGCACCAGAGAGGTATCGGCCATCTTCAGGAACAAGCACAAAGCCCGACAACAAGCAAGATACTGCCAGATAATAACTACGTAATTGCAGCTGAGGATGTTGAGAATGTAGTCATTTGGGTGTATGAAGCCAATTTTGAATTGAGATTAGAAAACCATACTTCTCTAAGAAAAGACGGCTGGCTTGCCGAACAACCTCCTCGTGGTGCCAGTTGGATGGTTCGGGATTTTCCCACTCCAGCAAATGGTTCGGTGGCAGTGTTCCACGACGTGGTGGGTTTCCGCACACCACAGTGCCAGTGTTGGAAAGAGTAACACCCAAATATATCCATTCGGGATACGGTCCTCGGGATCGGAATAACCGAGGTTTACCTCAAAGTGAGCCGAGGTCTCAATAGAGGTTGCGAGTCGCAACCCAACCATACAGCGTGCTCCCTAAATTCAGTTTTGAAGTACATAGGAGTTTACTCAGAGAAGCAAAGGGAGCATTTTCACCACGATATACTGGATCGTCAACCCTGTGACCAAAGATAGTCCACGGAAAACATGATGAGGGACTACGTTTGGGGCCTTCTTCAGAAAACGTATACATTTTTGAATACTCCGATGTCATGCTGCCTATCTTGACGTATTTCTATGCTATCACATCTAATGTCTTTTTTATTACACCTGGAGTGAAAAGTAAATAAAAAAGGTTGCTCGCTTTACCTGTATAACTTTTGAAATTTGGTAGACTTATAATAAACTCAAAATCTATGAGGATTATGGATGTTTTTGTTTATGTTTCAATCATAGGCAGTTGAAAGAAAAAACTCTTAGAATCTAGAAACAAAGTTGCATCACAATGAGGCTGGACCTCACCGTAGTGCGATGGTTTGTGTGCCTCAGCGATCCATTGAGCTGTGCTGAGTGGTGCTTTTTGCATCTTCAGAGCCATTCAAACCAGAGTGGTCAATGGTTAGAGGCCGGACAAACTCAGTCTCCTGGTCCTCCACCGGTGCGCTCGCAATTTAGCTCACATGTGGTGGGAATACCGCGTGAGCAACGAGCGTGTTCGACGCATTGTTTACGGCACAGAACAAGAATACAAATTGCTCAGCACCGCTATTTCACGCACAAGGCTCCGATGGCTCGGCCACGTGTTACACATGCCGGCCAACCGGCTCCCGCGACGTGTGTTGTTTGCGCGCCAGGGGTGTGGATGGAAGAAGAGGAGAGGTGGCCAAGCGATGACTTGGTCGAGAAGAATAAAGGCCCTTACTTCGAAACTGGCCTCAGCTGGAGCGTCTCGGCTCCCTGGTTATGATCCGAAAGACGATGAACACGTTTGACTGGATACACATGTTGATATGGCTAGGAGTCGACCTCAGTGGCGTTCGTGCTGTGAGTTTCTTTGTCCCACCCCATCCCTCTTAGCTTCCCCCTCCAACCACGATCTCATTACTTAGCATTTTATAATCCCGCATAGAAAATTGTTATTTTTCTGCTGCATAGTAGCCGGCAGATAGCTTACCGAAACGATGCACATTCGTTAATGGTAGTTCAGCTGGCTTGCACCTGTTGTATTTTATACCCCTTTTTCTTTTAGGTATTGCGGCACAGTAGCTGAGGTGTCCCCCACCTCTAGCTAACCTGTATAGTGTAGTGCGTGTGTGTGAGAAACAAAGTCGTGTTATACATTGACATATCAAATGAGCGAAGTGGAGTAGTTTTAGGAGAACAGCAATTAGACTTCATTTTTGTGAACGAGCTTAATAGCTATCCTTTACTCTTCCTATTTTCTACTTCTTGACTGTTGTTTGAATGCTCCACTGTGTTCGCGCGATTGGTACACACACGTCATTGTGAATGGACGCTCATCTCCGTGTCCTCTTCAGCAGTGCCATTTGCAAGAACACATTCCATTGGTTTTTCTCCGCATCACTTTTTTATTTGGTTATGTTAAAGGAATATTTAGTTGTAACACAAGTATTGTATTAGTTTTCAAGTTTTTGGTCTGCACTTCTTATTCGCGTTTGTGTCGTGACATTGGTTTAAACGCTACATTTTGTTATTCTGATTGGCCGGTGCCCGTCACGGTAAATGGATATTCGCTTTACGTTTGGGGTCCCATGAGGCTATTTTTAAGGACATATGCGATTCGCTCTTGAGTACACGATTGCTTATTCGTCGTTGCATTTGGTGTTTTCCTTCTGTTGGTTGACTCAAGTGTAAGTTAGTAACTTCCCTACATTTTGCCTTCAAAACTATATAAGTAAATGGGATTTTATGTATACAAATCTCTTTCTAGCTCGTCTTTGGACTTCTTCTTGTGGTCGTGGGGTGAAGGCGTCAGTGGCGACACAACAAGTGGAAAAAGAAAAAGAAAGATAGGTCAAATCGTTAGACAAAAGGCTAACAGGTAAAAGAAAAGGATCGGTTATAAAAGCGCCTCTGATGCCACAAACACGCAATGCCAGGAAAAGATTCCAGCCGTCAATGTACAGGCCTGACTAAATCTATACGGTCAATTATCCCGCACTCTACAGCTATATCATTGACCAAGCAGCCTGAAGTCTCACGAAACCATGCACGGTACTGTCCAACAACACACGTCTAGGTGTAATATCGAAAGGCGTTCGAGGAAAGTGGTGCAGTCGACATCGATAGTTCAGGTTTAATAAAAAATGCAGTGCGAAGCCAGAAGGTTTTTTCAGATTGCCAACTGGCATACTACAACACTGTCTACTGGGTTGGGAAGTCTACAGCATTAATGACAGATGAGATACAAAAATATCACCATGGCGGATGGAATCGATGTGCTTACACAATGATACAAGGTAACCAGTTAAATCGAGGAGTGAGGTCCCGCTTTGGCCAGATGGAATACCAAAGGCGCAGTTACAAAGTAAAATGTTCTCATTCGACATCTGGTTGGAGGAGCAGCACGACTTCTCGTCTAAGAGTTAAGAGTCCACTGAGGAACAGTAAGAGGTAACAGCCTGATGGAATGTCAAAAGGGGAACCCGACTGTGGAATGTGAATTTCACAATATAGTTGGAAGCAGTGCAGAAGTATTCCTCAAACGACTGTAAGCTTTCGAATCATGAATACGCAAAGACTAGCGTCCAGAATGAAACGTTACCTGAATCGGGGTGCTGTGCAACGGAGTCCGTCAGCGCAGTATCTGTCGCTTTGTCGGCTGGTGGCCGGACAGGTGGACGCGACATCACTGGGCCAATGTGTAGAACACTGAGGCGTCGATCTAACGGTTGAGTAGATGTGGAAAGAAAAAGAACGTTCAACGCGCGCAAATGAACGTCCAACGATGTGGTCAAATCGAGCAGTTGTGCCCAAGGTGGACGTATGAGGATCTGACGGAACACGAGGAGCCAGCTGATGGGCTGACAAGACCTAGGGAGTTGTGGGTTGGTGTGGCTGTTGGTAGTGAAGGATGAATGAAAATCGTCTTGACTTGTGAAGCCTTCCAACTTCATTTGGTGAGACCAGATAAAATCGAAATGGCGCATCACGTGAAGTAGACAGTTGCGATGCTGCTCAGGAAGGTTGGATAGGAACGTCCGTACGGATATGTGCAGCTCATCTGAAAACGAGTGCATCGCATGCCGACTAATGAAAAGGTGGACAGAATGAGAGAGATAAAATTCATGCAGACGAGTTGGGCAATAGAAGTTATGGGGATGTGGATACCACATAGTAGTTGGAAATCAGCGACACCTGTATATCGGTGTACGACTAGGCCTAAGGAAACTGTGAATATTTGAGAGCACACGCGATTTCAGTGATGGCGCTATTTAAAAGGTGGGTAACACAAGTAACTCTGAGTTTGCATTCGATAGTATAAATCTGCATTAATAAGGTGTCTCAATGCAACGCGCATTTAGTGAATATCCGCATACAGTTAGGGTCCCTAGGTAAAAATCTAATAAGCCATACACAAAACAAAGGAGGAAACAGACAACAAGTTGTTTTTCCTGTTTTTTATACGTCATTTCGTTTTTCTAGTAAGCTCAGTGATTAAGGAAATCATCAGTGCATATCTTTCATTGAGCTCGATTCTCACCATGTCCTCAAAGGGTTACATCCAGCGGTGTTCTTCATCCTTGGCTCCCGAACGCACCAACAGTAGTTAAACTGGAAATCCGCACTTTGATATTGTGTTTTCAAGTGATAGTTTGACCAGCGAGCAATGTCTTCTAGTGCGGTCCTGCGCAAGCGGATAGAACGCAGGTGGTGATAGTTCACAATGCATGCGTAGGACGTGACCCAGTAGCTCAGCTGGCGCAGAGATATTTGCTTGTGGAGAGGGAGGCCCGTATAACTTAAGACGCGGCGTCTAACATCGTCGTTGCAAACGTGATGTTCCCAGCACATAACAGTTATCCGCCGCAGACAATCGTCATCCAAAAACGTATCAGTTATGCCAATAGGCTAAGACACATTTCCGTACAACAGTACCGCACGAGTGCAGGCTTTGTAGACCCTGACCTTTACCGAAAGTGAAACGTCACGGTGACGCCACAGATGCTTCAGATTAGCGAAAGCTGGTCGGGCTTTGGTACTATGGAGAAAAATCTCCTCCAATGGCGGTATACCTTTGGGCTGCCCCATTCTTTTGCAGACAACGCCATAAAGCAGGCCGATCGACCGAGTCGAACGCAGTTCGGATGTCAAAAAAGGCTAAATGAAGGTATGAACAAGTTGATGAGCCGGAGTCAAGGTGAAATCAGCCGGTAAACGCAATACCACAAAGAAAGGCTAAGTAAAAATGACTTACCACCAATTTGGTCCAAAGACGCCAACTGACAAAATGCCTGATAGTTGTTCTCTGGTATAACCGGGGTCGGTAGATCGCGGAGAAACGCCTTCATCAGTTGGGTGAGCCGAACCACATCGATGTCAAGGTAAGGATCGTCGGTAGGGAGTCTGTTCGAATACGTTGTGTGCAGGTCGATAAGTGTCGAGGTCGAAGCGGATTGCTGGTACGCAGACACGAGGTCGATCGGATCGCTAGTGTTGGAAGAGGGTGAAATGCTTTCGGTGGCCAGGCGCTCTATGGCACGCGTGCAAGTTAGTAAAAAGGAAGGGACACCGCAGTGTGTATCGAGGGGCTGATGAAATGAAAGAATGCGTATGAATGCAACAGATTCAAAAACAAGGGAAACAAATTGGAGGCATCGGACTGAAAATCAACGCTTTTCCAATAGCATCGTCTTACAAACAGTGAATGATGATGCAGTGATACGGTGGAAACAGTGTGACGATCACCGTGGGATTTTTACTGCCACAAATCCTAATCAACCTAACACTAAAGGCAAAACAAAAGCAGGCACTTTTAAGAAGGTAGCCCGAATAGGAGGAGACTGCAGACGCGTCTTCAGTAACGAAGGGTGAGTCACGTGGACCCCAGCCCAGATATCGAGATGGACCGAGGGCACTCAAGCTGGTGTTCACTGCCATTATCCCGTATTGTCAGTTCAACCAGTGCCCCCCCCCCTCATCTTTACACCACACTTGACCAGGCAAAACAAAAGAGTATGCTCCTCGGAAACAAGTGAGCTGGGACCCGTAGCACGAACCCAAGGGTTTCAAACACAGAGTGATCCACCGCAACCCCAAAACCCCATCAGCTAGGTCACAAAGTGAAGCGATAAATGTGGGCTCAGTGTGGAAACAAGTTTCGATCAGAAGACCCGTGTTAGGGTCGATGACGAGTCAATGCCTTGCAAGATATTGTATAGCTATCGATAACAGCACGATGGATAATGTTTTGTGCATACGAAACAACAGAACCATTTTCAGAACCCTAGTGTGTTTGTTAGAGCAGAAATACAGCCACATACACAGGGTAGTTGCGCAGATAGCTCGTGTCATTCTCAAGACGGAAATGGGTGTGAGTGGAGACGCTGTGCTGATCACATTTACAGCTGCAAAGGCCATGTAATGCACCTGTCGATGTACAAAGTCTGCAATCGCCACAAGGCCACCTGTTCGATAATGATTCAAACAAGGTCAGAGTGGATCCCAGTGCTTTCGTTTGAGTTGCCAAGACTAAAGTGACAGGAAGTGAAAGTGGCGAAGGAGGGAATAGAATAACATCAACAAGAAAAAAGGATAGAAAAGAGACAAATCCCTGAGAATGCGCCGTGACCGCGTCATTGAGGTGATCGGTCACAACGCCAAAACTTGAGTAAACGGTCAATGCATACAAAACGCAATCCTCCCGTTAGTTTCATGTCTTTCGTTAAGTCATTCATTGGTCAATACCATGATGGAATGTTCGATGGGTATATGAAGAACAACATTATGCGGCTGGTGTAAGCGGTTTTTAACTTCAAAAGACGATGCATTCCCGTACCCAAAGAGCCGTTTCTAAACGCCCCGAGATGCTGGACTTCAGTATTACACACATTGAGCTCACCCCACACATATGGACGATGCATGAAACCGCCAGTAAACAAGTACTGCCAGTGCACTAACGGCTATCATTTAAATCAGACATTTTGTCATTTGTATTACGGCACAATAGCTGTGTTTTCCATCTGCAGCTAACGTGTATAATGATGATGATGATGATGTGTATGAAGGATTGGTAGACACTAAATTTATTCTTGCTTGACGGTGAGATCATGAGACATTTGCTAAACATACTTGTAACAAATGTCAGTGGCTACAATGTTAAAATGTTAGGGGCAATCCAAAAGTGGTTTCTGAGGAGAATTTGGAAAATACCATGGATAGTTAAAATGACAGCAAAACTTCTTGACAAAAGCCAATGAAGAAAACAAATGGAAACCATAAAGTGACAATGCTCAGTGGACACATATTGTAGAAAAGTTACACCAAACAGTGACAAAAGGGAAAATGAAGAACAGAAGAGACAAACACGGAAGAAAATGCCGGACAGTTAAATGAAGCGTTATGAGAGAGTCAACAGCGAAACTAACAACCTGCATATGCTATTGCCAACCATGGGGCCCAAATGGGTGTGTTAGAACCCAAGGGGCAGGCGGTAATCGTTTATTGCTAAAGTGGCTTACACTAGGTGTGTTCGTTCATACCTCGGAGGCGTCCGCTCATCTGCGTGATCTCCATGGAGTGTTCCCCAACTGGTGCTTGCCTCTGTGCTCACTCCTCGTGCGCGTGGAACTGTAATCCTGATGTCATCTTCAACTTTGGGGAAGTCGGCAGGGCTCGCTGTTGGTGTGTCAACTTGCACCACCACACTACTTATACCCGGCGCAGTAGTAGCTACCTTTAATCCACCACACTCCTCCCCCTCCAAAGGACTCGCGTCAGCTGCCTTCCGTCGGAGTCTTTCTGACCGCCGGGGATGTTCACTGTATGAGCGTGTTTCCTCCTCCAACTCGTACCACTTCCTCAGCTCGCCGGCATTCACCCTCCGCGATTCACGTTGCCGAGCGATTGTATACACTGGGCCTCGCCGGTCGACTACCTCGTACGGTCCTTTCCACTTCGCTAGGAGTTTCCTCTCCCCTGGGCCGCAAGTGGGATAGCGTTGATGGTCCCTGTACTTCACTTTCGAGCCAATCTGAAACTCGATATTCCTTCCACCTTTGCTAGTCTGGAACTTCGCCATCCTTCGCGCCTGAGTCGTCTGTAGGTTGCGGTTGGCGGACTTCCGGTTATTCCGTGTATCCTCGGGAGATATACGGCAAGTTGGCCACATTCCAATCTCTAGGTCCACAGGTAGACGAGGTTGTCGACCGCACACCAAATGGAATAGTGATTTCTTTGTGGAACCCTGTTTGGTTGCTCGATGGGCCAGCAACAGTAGCGGCAACGTTTCCTCCCAGTCTCCACCTTTTGCTGCTATCCACTCCTTGATTGTTCTATTGTTACGTTCCGTCAGGCCACTTGTTTGCGGGTGGTATGGGGTGGTGCGCAATTTCTTAATGCCAAGTTTCTCCAAATAGTTTCGGAATTCTTCACTCTCGAAGCACGGCCCTTGGTCTGTTAATATGGCCATTGGGATTCCGTGAGCCGCTAACAAGTGATCCATGACAGCATGGGTAACGGTGCTAGCCCGTTGATCCGAGATTCCTGTCGCCTCAATCCATCGCGTGAAGTGCTCCGTCATCAATAAAATATATTGGTTGCCACGCCTGGTCAATGGAAACGGTCCCATCACGTCGACCGACCAAAGTTCACCAATTTCCGAGACCGGGATCGTCATCATTTGCGGCTGCATTCCTCGGCAATCCGTTTTCATGAGCTGACATTGTCTGCACGAAAGCACGCACTTCTCAACGTCCCTTTTCATCCCCGGCCAATACGCGCGTTGTTTCAGCAGATCTTAGGTCCTGGAACAACATGTGTGCGCCATCTCGTGACAAGAAACTACCAGATTCCGTCTTAGTTTCATTGGAATGACTGGCACCGAAGGGTTGCTACCTCCTGGTATCCACATTAAGATCCCTGCTTCGTTCACTTACAGCTTTCCCAGGTCTTTTGCAAACGGTCCCAGCTGCTTAAGTTGGTTTTTGTTGAAGTTTGTCTGATTAGCTAATCGCGCGGTGATCAACTTGCGTAGGAGTTTGTCGCTACGTTGCTCAGTTGCCAACCGTTCTGGATCCTGCTCGCACAGTATACCGTTAATACCGAAAGCTACGCTCGGCAGGTTATCATCATCTATCATGCGTGACAAGAAATCCGCCGTTTGATTTTCCCTCCCCGGCACGTGTTTTATCGTGAAGTCATATTCTTGTAGGCGCAATACCCATCTCGCCAGCTTTCCTCTGGAGTTTTTGGCAGACTTACTCCACTCCAACGGTCTGTGATCTGTTTCGACGTGAAATCGCTGACCCAGGAGATATGGCCGCCAGTTATCTAACGCCCAGACAATTGCGAGACATTCTTTCTCTATAGTTGAGTATCTGCGTTCCGCAGGTGTCAAAGTTCGGCAGGCATACTCAATCGTCCCATGGTTTTGTTTCAACACCGCACCGATCCCGACATTGCTGGCGTCAGTGGCTACCGTGAACACCTCACCAGCAATGGGCAATTTCAGGGTCAACTCCTGCCTTCCCATTTCCTGTAGAATCTGATCAAAGGCTCGTTGAGCTTCTGCATTCCAAGTGAATTTCCTGTCTTGTTTCAACCGCTCGTACAAGGGTGAGGCCAAGGTGTTAAAATCCTTGACGAATTAGCTGTAGTACCCGGCGCGGCCCAGGAATGTACGGAGAGTGCGTTTCGAGGTGGGAACTGGGCTGCCTTGTATCGTCATTATCTTCTCAGGAAGCGGTTTCAATTCGCCTTGTCCCACTTTATGACCCAGTAAGGTGACACAGGTCTTTCCGATCTGAGATTTTGGTCCATTTATACGAAGTCCCGACTGCCGAATGCGTTCCAGAACTGCCTCGAGATGATGGATATGTTCCGCTTCTGATTGGCTATACACCACGATATCATCCCCATACACAACCACGTTTTCCAATTCACTCAGCAATCGCAGTATTAGACGTCGGAAGGTAAACGGGGCTCCTGATAATCCAAAGGGCATCCTCTTAAACTGGTACAGTTTCTCACCAACGGTAAACGCCGTCTTCTCTCGATCTTCCTGTTTTATTGCCAGTTGCCAGTATCCTGATCTCAAGTCCAGGACCGTGAATATCCTCGACTGCTGCAGCCGATCAAAAATGTCAGCAACTGATGGAACTGGAACGAAGCGAGTCAAGGAAATTTCATTCAGTCTTCGGAAGTCGACACAGAATCGGTACTTCCCATTCGTCTTCTTTACTAAGACCACAGGAGAGTTGTACGAGCTATGTGCCTCCTCAATCACACCCGCGTCCAGCATTTCCTGCACCTGCCTGTTCACCTCAGCCTCCAGATGGATTGGTATCCTTCGAAGTCCATGGGGCCGATACGGTTGGCGAGTTAGCGGGATGGTGTGCTCGATCCAATCGCAAAACCCATATTGGCTGCGGTCATCCGTAAACAAGGGCTGGTATTTGTTGATCAGCGACTGCAAAGATGGGCTCAAATGTAACACAGCAACAACCGACTGCGAAGATCTCATTTCTCCACGATTAATGAGTGGTAGTGACCCGCATTCCATTAGCAATTTCCCACGCTTTAGATCAATGAC